ATTGTTGAAATATGGTAACCCTACACTTACCCATCTATACATTCATGCCCCATGTGTCCAGTGGTCTCCACATTCTCTCATATGACCTGTGGACAGGGTTTTTTTTTTTTTTTTCCAGTTTTTTTTTTAATTATCAAATATTGCTTTTTCAGGATTTAGGGTTGGTTATCAGACACTGAACAAGATGGTTTTGAATAACATGTGCCTCAGTTAGGATGCCGTGTCACTGACCGCACGTCACAAAAGACACCCCATCCAATGTCCTCCTCCTGGATAAATATATGGCATTCTTGACCAGGGTGAGGCGTAGGCCAATGAGGAGGCCCCGAGATGGGCAGGGAGTAAATAAAAATGTTGAGATTCTTGCTGCACTTTTCCCTGCACAAGGGGTTACAGAGGATGCGGAAAAGGGGCTGCCACCTGTCACACTCCAGATACACATATGTCAGGGTCTCCTTCTCCCACAGAATGAACAAGTGCCAGGGAAGTCTGAAAATTGTGTCAACAACATGTCTATGCTCCATGAAAAAGCCCAACCAACTCATATTCCTGGTGGGCCATGGAATCAAGGTGGAATACAGGCTGGCCCACTAGGGCTCCTCCTCCTCAATAGGTGATAAAATGTCCAGCCATTTTGTATCTGGGCAGGACACAAGTGCTAGGAAATGAACTGGGGTGAGTGTGTGTGTGTATAGCTTCTCTTGTGATGTGTCTGAGAGGCTCACTGACTTTGGTGACACCAGCCAAAACCAGCCTTTGGTGCACCCAGGGAACCACCACCCCCTGTGCCACAAGATGTGGATTGTGCAATAGGAGATCTGGAAGGAAGTGTTCACCATCGGCAGCCGCGAAAGATCTGATTGCAGAGAACAACTTGCGGGGCCTGAGGAGATCTCTGTCAGTTCACAGAGATTTTGGAGGAGACATGTCAGATGGAGGAAAGCAAGTTGCTGGTCATATCAGAACAGTCAGTGGAGGAAGGCATAAGACCTCAAAACTATAAGAATGGCCCTCTGGGACACCACTATTTACCTCTCTCCATTCTGAAACTGACCATTTATTCCTATCCATTGTTTCCCGTCTTTTAACCAGTTATTGATCCATGAGAGGACCTTCCCTCTTATCCCCTGACTGCTTACTTTGCTTCAGAGCCTTTGGTGAGAGACCTTGTTAAGCACTTTCTGAAAGTCCAAGTTCATTATATCCACTGGATCTTCCTTGTCCACTTGCTTGTTGACCCCCTCAAAGAATTCTAATAGATTAGTGAGGCATGATTTCTCTTTACAAAAACATGTAAACACTCCCACCTATATCTATATGTGTTGCAGTCAGATAGCCTGCCACACCCTGGCTTTTGCCAGCCTTAAAGATTACTTCAGGGTGACCCCAACACACTCCTCTCTTAACAAACTATGTTCTGTTCAAGCAAAATTTCTCATCACATGCTTTCAGCAGTCTTACAGACCAAACTCTTTAGGTCAGAACCCCTCTCCCAGAGTCCAACAACTGTTTTGTCTTCTTAGGTGCAATGCCAGAGACAGACAGGGAGGGGGTGTCTTGGGGTGTTTCCCCTTTTTATAGTCCTGTCCTCCCTTTGAGAAGCATTTCCACCTGGGGGCAAGGCGACAGGCAGTCTGTATGGATGGAAACTCCATGCTTTTTCTTTGCTAGGATGTAGATTTTTGTCCCACCCCATTTCTTGCCAAAGAACGGCCACTTAGCAGGTAATGGTCCATCAGCCTTGTTTTCACCTGACTGAGGCATAAGCTTGCTCTTTGTCCCTGAGGAACTGGTTTGGCCACTCCCCAGACTTACCTGGAAAATGATTCCTCCTGCAAAGAGAGAGGGGCAATATGTAACTTGTTTGTAACAATGTATAAGAGAGGGGTGATAGAAGGGCTATCTTTGGCCAAGGGGAGAGCAGAAAATCCCACCACTCACTGAGCTGGTCCGTTGTCACGGGCATACATGTATTGGTGTGCCTGTAACCATTGAGCTGGGGCACTACTACCATGCTTGGTTGGCAATAAACCTGGCTGAGCACCTTCCCCTGACCTGAGTCTGTGGTGTTCTTGGGCAGTTCAATCAAAGTTGTTGCCCCTTTTAGAAAAGGCAACCACATGAGACTATCTAAAACCAAAGGAGCTTTTGAAAAAGGTTATGAACAAACATTTACCGTGAGATATTCATAGTGGATGAAACCTTAACCAGGGGCCAGAGACCTATATATCTATTAAAAGATTATGAGGGTGAGACAGTTACTGGATCTTTTTACCCTGAAAAATTACAAAATGTAAAGCCCAAACAAGACAAGATTTACAGGATTGAAAAAGTTCTAGTGGAGAAAGGAAAAGGGAGAAAAAAGCAGCTACTGGTGAAATGGTTGGAGTGACCTGCTAAGTTTAACAGCTGGGTGGAAGCTTCTCAACTCTGTGACATTTAGACACAAGCAAAAACTATTCCTCCAGCAAAGAGAGAGAGAGAGAGAAATGAGCGATGGCGGGTTTTACATTACTTTGCCCAGCAACACCAGCTCTGCGGTTTTCCCCCAAAACAACAGCTCAAACTTTACAATATGGCTAATTAAGCACTTGGATCTCCCAGGTCCCTGGGAGGTGGGGTTAGTGGAAATACAATACCCACACAGCTGGAACACTATCAACGAAGACACCCCTTTCGAAATCAACTTTGGAGATGTGGCGTGGAGTTTCATCCTACAACGAGATTATTACTCATCCATACCCAAATTACTGGATCA